AGGAACTTCTTGTGACGGAGTTCACACAGGAGAACCAGGGGACGATCTGTGTGATGTCGTGTGGACCACCAAAGATGGTTGATGAGATCCGTAAGCTGGTTGGTCAAACCTTTGAGAAGAGCTATCAAAGGGTTGACTTGTTTGAGGAGCTGCAAGTCTGGTAAACTGGCAATTAATAACTACTCCTGTTATTATATCTATACATATTTATGCTAGTATTTGATAAACTGTTAATAACATTTAATGTTGTAGTCGTAGTCCTCACAATTGCCAGACCTTCTCAAGATCAGAGACGATTGTAGCGAACTGAGAACTGCGCTTTGAACCACACTGTTATCTTGGGGACCTGACAGTGTTGTAGTCGACTGACCACCCAGTAGGGCGCCTCGTAAGGGGCCGTCGCCACAGAAACAGGGAAAATAAGCAATGTCTGGATCTTGAAATCGCTAATGACAAAAGTAAACAAAAATGAATTCAAGGTTAATGGCTCTCTTTAGTAAACGTCTATTTTATTATCAGGAACAACAAAAAAGAAGAGTTGTTAGACGGCTTCAAAGTTCAATCAATTATCATCGTTAGAGTTAGTTTTGAATCTCAGCAATCAATTTTAGGGTTCAATTTGTTGTGCACAGCCTTATGCAACATGAATAATTGTGCATGAAAACCGTTAAAAACTGTTGAGAACGAGCTACTATTAAAAGCTTATACACTTAGGGATGGACTTTGGAGAGCAGACTATATCATTGATTACATTATTGATTACTTGGACTGAAAAACTGTCACCAGATGCTAGTGGAATAATACCTGAGACATAAATGAAAAACAAAGATTATTGAGGAGTTGAGGTGAAGTAGCTCTAAGATGGTAATTGCGAGAGTGGATAACTCTGAAACTACTTAGGGAACCGCAAGCTCTCATAATATACACATTTGTGAGCCTCAAGACCATTATTGACCATGAATGAAGGACAAAATTGCTGGTATGTATGAAGGGTGGTTGAGTTTAAAGAGCTTGTCTAGTGGCAGATACAATCAGGACCATCCGATAGATGGACATATATGTTTACTACCAAAAACTGAATACCCAGCCAACTAACTTGAGTAGCCCATTTCTCATCGTGTTTAAGTTTTGAGATGTACTATATAGACGGATATCTAAGAAGTGTTTGCCTCAGGGACAATGTTGACCCGATGGTTTACGGTTAATCAACTGGGGAAATAGTACACCAGACACTGATTTGGAGGTTACTAGTAGTGGCACACACATAATTGCTTTTTGATAACAAAGATGAAGCATAAGTTGGGTTCAACGAGTGTACTGCCATAAATAAAAGGACTCTTCGAGTTTCTGCACGTGAGATCAAGTGTAAGTTATTAGTTGTTTTGGATTTAATAAGTAAATAAACAATAATACTTCATGGAGGGCTGTAGTTTTTAGGTGATAAGATATCCTGGACTTCCGGAGACAAAGTTGAACAAACGTAGTAGAATAGATATACATCACCCGGTTGAAACATTGAAATATGTGATACAAAACCAATTTCTACCGCTCAAGGTACCGCCAAAGTGCTAGACATACTCAAAAGTCAATTATTGTGAGTATGCTACCTAAAGATTGTTTATTTGAGGTAAAATCTAGTCAAGTAAAAAATTTCAGCACCTTGACAGCAAAGGCAAGAGAAGATGAATATTCCGCTATTGTTCATTATAATATATATATTTGGATACACCAGAATCTCTTAGAAGTAGAATAGAAACATGTCTTACTCAAGTCGTTGACCGCATATAACATCAGAGTTGAACTTAACATGAATATGAAAAAGGAGCTGATGAATATGTACTGAGTTTATACTTCGAAGAATTTTTTGATACAGCTCTATGAGAAATTAATGAACAACTTCTTTAACAGTATATCAAACTCAATATCTAAAATTAGGATTACTTATCAAGTAAGGTCTCGTCCGTTGGTTCAAGCACATTAGTTTTTGAACAATTAACAGTCCACGAGTAAAAAATAGAAAGTCAACACTTACGATCTCAGACACCAGAGGACACCAGAGAGCAATAGAGGGTCTCATGTTCAGCCTAAATTGTACACATGCAGTTTTTTGGGATCATAGTGATCCTGATATATTTACATGTGCGTGCTTAGCAATCGTCTCAACTTACCAGATCGCACCTCATGTCATAAGCGCAACAATTCAGTATGATGAACCTCATATCAGGCGTAAAAGTTGACCAAAACAAAAACACAGGCGTTTGAAGAACATTTATATGACTGCAATAAAAATATGAAATGAACAAAATTACAATAATACCAGCATTATGAACACATTATGATGTGAGATCCTAACATCTAGCACTGATACGTAGGACTGCAAAATGAATAAATAATCCTACCTAGCCTAGTGAGTGATTATTTGAGACACCTCAATAATATATTTTGCCCTTATTGCATGTGTTAGCTTGGGTTATCAGATATCAAAAACATGAATTCAAGAGTCGAGACCATAGATGTATGCACTTATACATGTAGTGTTGGATTGACATATTGTTTGGCCAAGCTAACACAGGTTGTCACCCGTGGAGATCTTTGATTGTCCTCTCTTTTTCGCCAAAGGGTCCAAAAGGAATTAAAACCTCAAGAAGAGGGTAGAAGATGACAATACTGGTCGGCAAGTTTCACGAAAGTGCTCATGAATATCGTTACAAGAAGACAGTCCCGAGTTATTGTACTACATGCGTTATTTGTGGTGAATCCCTGAGTGAGTCCTGAATACCAATGTTGGGTCTAGGGACTTAGATCCTAGGGCAAATGCGCAGATCGGGATATTCGTGGGAGAGCCAAACGGCTAGACATTACTTTTGAAATATGCAGAAAGCCCTAGACCCCAAAAACTGTTATATGCACCACGATGGATCGTCGTGTCAAACGGCTCAACATTAGCGTGATTAACGAAGAGACAAGGCGAAGAGAAAAATATTGTTAAGTTTTAACCATACAGATTGATGCATTGAAGTATTTTATTCAAGGCAGTAATCAGAGTATTTAACGATGTGAATATGTTTAGTCTGATTCCAATTATAAAAGGCAATAAGTATCCTGTTATTGTAGTTATTATGATATGTGTTTCCAAGATCTCCAGAATCATTCAAGGCTTGGTGCACTAACTCAGCCATGTTGAAACTGTTGACTTTGATACT